TGGGCCTCGCCTGTGGTTAGGAAGGAGGCCGTGGAGAAGCAGTGCAGAGGGGCTGTGGGTGAGTGTTGGGATGCGGTTTCGCAGCTCAGTCTCTTGAAATCTTTAGTTTTTTCTGTCTCCAAATTACAGAAGCATAGGAGTGTCTGTCTGGTGCCGAAGGCTGTTTGGAAAGAGCCTTGTATTTCCTGCAGAGCTGCCGATAAACGGTGTCCGCATCTCGTGTCAGGGTCGTGCTGCCTGTTGTAGCATGTTAAGATTTTCCTGATAGCTGCTTTTATAACAGTATTAATGTTTTGGGTTTTTAATACCGAATCATGTAGTGACAAAATGAAGTAATAAAGTTTGTTAAAACAAAGTTTAAGATGAACTGTGTGTTCTGGGAGATTTGAGCCAAGTTGGAAAGCTTAAGGTTTTTTTTAAACTTAAAAAGTAAGGGGAAATGTTAATTAGAAGCTATCCACGCTTTCAGAGCACAACAATAATAATGACTTTTCTAGCAGGAAAAGCATTACTTCTAGGCGTTGATTTGATTAAAATGTTCAGCTGAAAGGTGCTGAAATAAATTTCCTTTTCTGAAAAGAGGTTTAAGCTGCTTTATCAATACTTGCAGTTTAGGAAGACTTTTGCTCACTAGAAAAACAATGGTGTTTTTCTACATTCCTCAAACTGCTGAGTTCCCATCTTAATTTTTGACTTCAGGAGGTGCTTGTCCTAAGTTCTTAAGGAAAATGTTATCTAGTCCTTCATCTTTGCCCCACATGGGAGTTAGATGGCTACTGTCTGGAAGCTTTCAAATATGTAAACTTGAACTTACAAATTACCCGTGGGTGTATGTTTTACATGCAATTTCTTTTTGATTTGATTTCAGTATGACAATTGTTTGTTTGTTTTCTAGAAACATACTGCTTTTGCTACCTTTCCCAGTGAAAATGCAGCTGTGAAGGTTTGTATTGAGTTTGTTATTGAATGTTTTAGCAAAGCACTTTTCTGAATTTCTAGTTGTGCTCTAAAATGTTTTGTATATCATCTAGTACTCAGTGTTGGGGAAAACATGCAGAGTAATATAATATTAGAGTTCTGTTTCAGGTGGTGCTTGAAGGATGTGAAAAAATTAACACTTTTGTAGGCTCATAAGAAGGGTGGGTTGGAAGAGGCTTTTGGAAGTCGTCTGATCCAACCTGTTCCTTAGAGCATGGCAAACTTACCTGAGTTGAGGCTGATCAGGGCCCTGTCTAGGGTGTGTGTGCATTTAATGAACTATAAACAAAGCATGATTTACTTGTCTCCTGCATAATAACGTATTTGCCATAAAATTCAGACATAGTAATATATGCAATTCAAGACTGCCTTCAATGTCCAACTTTGATAAGGAAAAGAAAACAACCATGTTAATGGGGGACTTGGATACCAAAATGCTAATACTAATAATGCTTTTTAAATATAAGTTTGGTAAAAACCTTGTCCTGAGTTTCCCTCTTAGGCCCTTTTTTTTTTTTTTGAAGTTGCTTTTATTTTTTTTAGGACATGCTCTAAGGTACTACTCAAAAAAGTTACAAAGACTATGTGAGGTGAACAGTGGTGAATTTAGGTTGCTTTGTGTCAATTGTTAGAAGTCTATCAGGATCTAGACTTGCAGAATGCTGGAGCTTCCTGGTGTCACTGTTAAGAATCTAGATTTTAAAATTCCCAGCTATTACTAGTGGACTTCAGCATGTTTGTAGTTCCTAAGCAAGAGGTGGGTTATTTGGAGTCACAGAGATTTACTACGCTGTGTAATAAGTATCATTGTTAAGGCTGCAGTCTTGCTGGTGTGTTCAGGTGACCTAAGTCTCTGCAATGGTTCTAGCTGCACAGCCTTGTCTTTTTCCTTCCTGTTAGCAGGAAAGAGGCTGCTGAAAGCAGGAGTGGTGCAGAACTATCTGTATCTATTGGCACAACCTTAGCTTATAGCAGCTGGGACTGCATCCTGTGACTAGTTTACACACTGTCATGGGTTTGCCCTTGGCTGGGGGCCAACCCCACACAACCGCTTTCACTCACCCTTCCCCCTCCAAGAAAAAACAGTTCTGCTTTAAAATAATTCTGATGTTTTCCCTCTTCCTTTTATTTCTTTTCTCCATTACAATTATTTGAAGGCTTTGTCAAGGCTGCATCAGCTGAAACTTTTAGGTCACACCTTAGTTGTTGAATTCGCGAAGGAGCAAGATAGTGTGCAGGTACTCACCCAGCCTTCTGTCTCAGAGACGTGTAAAAGGTATGTGCATAATAATTTAGTTTCTGTGTTTGTGATCAAGGAAAGGAAATTCCGTATTCATGATACTTTTGTAGTACTGTTAAGTCAGAGGATAAATTGTTACCATTTAGAAGTGTTAACAGGCAGGTTCAGATCTATAGATAAGGGACTGCATTCCTCCCATTGGTGTTGTTTAATTCAGTATCATCACGAAATAATTCCCATCCTTATTCATATAGTTATTCATATTTTTAGTCAGCAGATGATCCTGTTTGTTCTCATTTACAGAGCAAGACTCCAGTCTGCGTAAGCTGACCCCTGTGTTGCACAGGTTCCCTGTATTGAAAAAAGACTCTTCTTTTTTTTTTTTTTTTTTTTCTATGTCGGGATTATATTTTTCTTTTGCTGTTAAACAGTGCATGCCATGCTTTCCTGATGTTTCTTTCTAATCTAATCAATAGTCAGGCCAAATTGACACTTGCTAGTGTACCTGTATAAGACTGTACAATTACGGCCACTGGCTTCTAAGCTGGAGCTGATTTGCACGTATCTAGCTTGAAGCGTGAGCAGAACAAACATAAAACTGTCCAAATCTCTCTTCAAATAGTTAAAGAATATGTAATGTTTAAAAATAAAAATTATGAAACTCAGTGAATCCTAATGCTAGTGTGACCAAAAACTGTCATAGTTTGGGTTTCAGTTGTCTGTCAAGTATTTAATTAAAAATATAAGTTCCATAGTTAGGATTTCAAGTGTACTTGTGAAATATGGTAGAAGCTATATGATAGTGCTTAATTAGAATCAACTATAGAGGTTGTAAGTTATTTATTCCAGCCTCTGACTATGAACAAATCAGTAATTTAATACCTTTGATTTTATACAGTCTCTGAACAGAGAGTAACATGAAATAGTTTTAGTTCTTTTCCTGTGAGTAGGTTTATGTCAGAAATGTTTTAATTTAGGGAGACTTACTTAAAGCTGCATAAATATTTTTTGTTAGAAGTCAGGCTACTATAATTATCCACATGTATTATTTCTTAAGAATTAATAATGGCTGTAGTAATGCCATTGATAAAAGATGTTAAAAATACTATACTAATATATTTCTTATATTTTTAATAGATGAGATTAAATGTATTTCATATACTATGTAGAGCACTTAAAATTTGCCTTGTGTTAATTAATGCTAAATTAATTTTCAGTTCAGAAGAACTGGTGAAAGAGGAAGAGAAGAAAGAACCAAGCTGTATTAATATAGAGAGTGGAATTGCACCCAACCATGGGTTAGTGCATTTTTTTGGTCTTAATTATATTCTGTTACAGTTTATTTTGAAATAAGTGTTATGCACTGTAGAATGACAGAGAATGCAGCACACTGCATTCTCTCTTGTTTTATTTCATAGTATGCTACTGTTCTACATGCTGTAGGAATTGTCTTAAAGATGAAATTTTAGTTCCTCAAGTTTAGAACCCTTGCAGTTGAGTAGTGACTGGTGCTTTGAGCCATGAAGTTGTGGATTGTGTAATGGCCTTCTAGCACTCTGCATTGCTTTCTCATGAAGACTTTGAGGAGTGGGTAGGTTGTGCCAGTGTTAACAGCAGAATACTGTTGATTTTTGTTTTTCCAGAGGTTTCTTGTTCTTTTTTTCCCCCCATATGCATTTTTTGGACTAATAAATCCTGCACTTTGAGCATTGAGTTTATGATGTTTGTACACCATGCTATGCTGTGCTTTTGGTTTTGGATATGTTAATTTTTTCTGTGTGCTTTAGGCTTTCTGCATGTGTTGGTACTTTCATTGTGCCCCAGCCCAGTAAGTCTGTCATGCATTAGGGGACTGCTCCCCAATGTTAAAGACATAATGTAAGTGGCCCAAAACTGTTCTAGGGGAAACAATATTATTTCAGTGATGCTTCAGATGTAATGAATAGTTAAACCTCTAGTAATCATTATTACCAGTCATTATGTGGCAGTGGTGCTAAGATGTCTTGGTTTTAATCTTTTTTCCTCAGCCTCACCTTTCCCATCAATTCTTGCCTCAAATATTTGTATCCACCACCATCAAGTACAATTCTAGCAAATATAGCAAATGCCTTGGCAAGCGTGCCCAAATTTTATGTCCAGGTAAGTAAAAAAATGGCAAAAAAAGAAAGTATAAAAATAAAAACATCTCCTTTTTCCTTTTTTTAAGTATCCACAGAAGTAATTTTTGTCATAGTAAATATTAAGCTAGTTTTCCTATGATCGTGTTAACCAATGTTTATTTTTTACTATGTTGAGACAATAAGATTTCACTGACCAGAAGTAACTTCCTTCATTGACACTGAACACTTAACTGGATATGATCTTCCTAATTAGATGTGACTTGAGTACATGGAGTTTCATTCTGAGAAGATACTTTACCCTTTTTGATTAGCCGCCTTAGGGTGTTGCTCGTATTTGCTATTAGTGTTGGATCTCAAGTGTAGGCTTTCACATTGCTTAATAACCAGTGTAGTTGTGTCTTCATTAAAACTAAGCCGATAACTTCTGGCAGGTATAAATCAGCAATGATACCTAGCAAGGAACTACTTTAATTTATTTATTGATTTATTTAAAGGAAATCTTTCTTGTCCTGGATTATTTTAGGTACTTCATCTTATGAATAAAATGAATCTTCCTCCACCTTTTGGACCAATTACTGCTCGCCCTCCCATGGTAAATTTTTAATATATGTTTAAGTAATGTAAAACAGATTCACAATTTAAAATGTCAGCAGCGTGGTAGGACATCTAAGTTCAAACTTCTAAAAGTTGGAGAAATCTCCAGAGGATAGGAAATGCTGCCGCATTTCATTGCCTAAGACGTGCATGTTAGTCTTCTAAAGAAATCTTTTTAACTATGCTTAGAACACATACATGTATGGCAGTAGCACTAGAATATTTCAAACTGTAGGGTATAAATAAAAAAAGGGGCTTATAACATCATGTTACAGATACAGGAAATAAATAACACCATTAGACCATTGCTTTACAGAGATGTAAGTTCTGTGATCCCTGTGTTTCTTTGGAGTTCTGATTGGATTCAGATTGTTAATGAGATTATGCAGTACTTTTAGAAGCAATTTGCTCTGTCTCCAGGGTGTTTTTTGAAAGAGGTGGGGTTGAGGGAAACCGGTACAGGCTTAGGAGGTGCTGTTTCTGAAGGGAAATAAAAATATCAGCTTTGTGGTCTCGGTTCTCTGTTGCCACGATAGAGTAGTGTAACTGACTGCCATTGGAAGATAGAGTAGGTGAGGACTTGCATTAGTAGTGACAGCTGCAGTTACTGGATATAGTGAAGTTGTGCTCCACTACACTTGTGTTTGCCCTAACAGAACACCTGCTTCTAATAACAGGGGAGCTAGCTGGTAAAGAAAACTATAAAATAAACCTATCAAATAAGTGAAATCACAATGATTTTCTGGGAATAGTTTTATTTGGTGCCTGGTACTGGGCCAGGTTATGCACTGTGAATTTAACAGTTGTGCAAAAAAGAATAGTAAGGTGAGAATCCAATCCTTGAAATTCCACAGAGTATTTTTAATGCCGGAAGACATCAATGCCTTTGTGGAGCTGATGGTACCTAAAAGTAGCTGTTAAGTGTAGTAAGATTGTTGAAAGTGGGTCTGGAAATTATTTTTTACATAGAGAACTCCTTATATGTAATTTTTTGCAGTCTTAGTGAAAAAACTTACTCCTTTCATGAAATCCTCACTCCTTACAGAGATAGAAATGTGACTTTGATAGGTGGTAGAAGGTTCTGTGTATAATCTGAGATGGCTTGGGAGCTTAGGCCTCCTCCCATATGTTTTGACCAAATTATTCTCAGGAAAGTTCTTAAAGCTGAGTGCAAAGTAAAAACACAGGACCATTGTTGCTATTTTTTTTTTTAGCTTCTCACATTAATAGAATAAAAACATTCACTGTTATGCTTCAGAAAGCAGCAGGTTTTTTTTTCTTGTGGAAGATTTTCATTAGTAATGTAGTTTAGCAAAATAGCATCTAGATCCCCTTCCATACTTGGAAAAAATGCTTCTTGTCACCTTCTAATTTATTGCTTTGATTGTTTTTATTGTATAAAGGAAAACAGGATATGCAATTTTTTTTCTTAAAATGTTTAGTTAATTTTTTTTAACTTTTCCCCATAATTAGTGTGAAGAGTATATACCAGTGCCTGCACCACCTCCCCCAATCCCGCCTCTGCCTCCCGAAGAGCCTCCTTTGCCTGAAGAGGAAGAAGAGCAACAGTCTAGTGGAGACGAATCAGAATATGAAAGTGATAATGATGAGGAAAAGGAGAGGTGTGCATGTTACAGTCATTTTCAGGCTTTGGGGCTTTTTTGAAGTGGTGTTTTTACTCTTCTAGCTTCTAGGTCAGCAAATGGTGGAATCTGTTAACATTTGCAGTATGTAGATAATCTTTCCAGATGCTTAAAGAAGCTTCAGAGTCACTTAAAAATATAAGGACAGAGCTGTTTTGAATCACAGTAAGAGAAGGAAAATGGTCAAATGGTATGCAAATTATCATTTGTTGCTATGTCCAGAAAACCAAAAACCCAACAAAATAAAAACTCAGAATGAAGAGTGTGCAGATATAAGGAAGGAGTAATTTGTTTGTTTTCTGGAGTCTTAATTTTTCCAAATCTTTAATGAGTAAATTAATCAGCCTGAATCATATGTGCACTCTGACTTCCAAAATGGTTTTTGTACATCAGTGTGTATTGGTAGGAGTAATAATAACGGGAGGTTGTGTGTGCTGAGGATTTTCTTGCTGTTTTGGGACTGAATTACATCATAGCTGTTTTTTTAAATCTTTAATACCAAATGAAGAAGCAAGTTTCTTTATTTGCTGTTTAAACTGCAAAGTAACTCAGAAAGTCCCTATGCTATATTCAGAAAAATACATGTATTTGAAAGAAGGTGGTCCTGTTGAGTGGAAATAATATTACGAAAAAAGGTTCAGCTTGAGGCTTCTTAGCATTTCTGCAGCTTCAGTGTCGTTAGATGCGTGCTTGGGGAAGGAAGGGGCATCATTGATGGTTCAATGATGCCCCAAGTGCTCTGTGTATATCACTTAGCTATGTGTTAAAGTTTATTAATGTAGTTTTGGTCTTAAGGTAGCTAGATTTATAACCGTATTCTGAAAAGTTGTATTTCAAGGGCTTTAAGGAATAGGAAAGCGTTTTCAAAATGAGTATTTTCAAATAAGCTGTAAACCACTTTGGTTCTTTCTAAAATTTTGTTTAAAACAGAATGACCAAGTTGATGGAGTTAGCAACCCTTCAGCCTAAAAGACCAATAAACACAAAGAGGCGTGGTGTTAGAAAAAAGCGAAGAATTAAAGACTTACTGAATGTTCCAATGTGTACTCCTCACAGGTCTGTATTATTTCAGTGGTTTTTGCACTTGTTCAGAAGATTATTCCTTTTACTACATTATATTCTCTGTATCACGTTTCCTTTAGTATTGCTATTTTAAAACAAGCATTCTTCACTGATACGTAAATTTAGTAGTGGAGTAGCTCTTCTGTTATCCTTATGCTTGGTTTTATTGCTTTAAAGGTCCAAATTTTTGTGTAATTTGAACTGAAGTCTGTTCTGCAACCTTAATCCGTAAAGTGTGCCTGGTTCAAGCTCTATGTTTCCCTAACTATCAAACTAATAAAAATCCCCTTTTTGTAAAAAACAAAAACAATTTCATATCACAGCCCTGACAAAAACAGTCTGGATTTATTGTTTGGGATACTTCTTAAAATTAAAATTAAATAAAAGGGTTATGCTGAAAGTATAAAAACTGATTTGGTTTAAAATAACTTTGGTTTTTGAAACTGCAGTACTATGGCACAGTAGACACCAGTGAAATATTTCTATGTAGTGATGATCAATTGTGAATGCATTTTTACTAATAGCTTTCATCTTCTTCCAAGTGATTTGCTATATTTTTTGAAAATCTGTTATACACTGTGAGAGCAGCAGCAAGGCCACTTATTTTTCATATTTAAGTTACTGGTAAAGTTTTTGTAAGTGCCTGTCTATACTGTAATGTGATATGTACTTCTAGCCATACCTACTGTATTTGCAGTGTTTTAATCAACTTGAACTGTATTGGCTGAAATTTATGAAACGGAGAACTCAGAATTTGTTGTAAACAGTAGCATAAAATCTATCTGGAAGAAATCTTATATTCGGCTACGCATTGATCAGTGGCTGAATCTTTAACATGTTGTTGTTTTAAACAGTAATTTGCACCCTGCGCTGTCACCTTCAGATGTCTTTGAGCAGCCACAGCATGTTGGTCATAAAAAAATTGAGTTCCATATTACTAGTGACATCCCAACTGTTCTTCAGATAAACTCAGAAAAAGAAGAAAAAAATGGTAATGGAGTTTATATTTCAAATGTATTTAATAGTATTGTGGTTTCAGTGTGTAGAAGGCTACTGAAATTTAGCCCAGGGAATTCTTTTCTTTTGTGTTGGAGCTTTTGTTAGTAATATACATCAGGATTTGTTTAAGAACACCTACCTCCATCTTGTCTGCATTTGCTGTTTTTCCCATGTTAAAGCACGGAACTCTGTGTGATCTGTTGGTTTACAATGAATTGCCCTGTCTTTTAAGTGTTAAGGTGTTTTTAGCAAATGTGTTGCAAATACATTCGTAGTATTATATAGTATAATTATGTCAGACTAATTTCAGATTTTCCTTTTCCAGCTTTTAAGAGACCAACATTTGAGTGATTGCCAACTCCTTCACTGTTATGCACTGACTATTTACTATAAAAATGCTGGGCAACAGTAGCAGTGAGGTGTGATGGTGTCTTACAGGGTTATGGTCAGTCTGTGTTTCTTGGAACTATAAGTGATATACAGTTTCTTTGAATGAAAATTAGCTAAACCATTGAAATTGATACAGGCTTGAACATCAAGGCTAGTTTTACCTTAACTGACGTGAGCCAGGGCTTTTATTTGTAGTACAGTTGATTTTATAGAGGACCATATAGAGCAGGTGTGTTTGTCAAGCCAGGGATTAAGACATGTTTAAGGATATGTTCAAATTGCTTTACAAAGTCGACTATATTAAAATGTTACTGAAAGGAGTATACTTTTTTGCTTGCTATTGATCCCCTTGTGAATAAACATACAAACCACTTACATAATGTGTTGAAATTTCAGACCTTTATGCAACCACAGAAGAAATCAATAATACAGGCTTTGGAAGGATTTTCCCAGCTCCTAGCTCAAATGATAAGATGGAAACTGAAGAGGAAGATGATGAAATACCATCAGAATTTATTTCTAGAAGGGATCTAGAAAAAAACAGACTTTCTAGAGAAGGTATAACTGTAAGAATAAATTATCTAATAATAGCTCTTTGATTTGTTGCAACAAATAGTTTAAATAAGTATTTCCATTATTAAATGATCATATATTAAATTTAGTTATTTTATACTAAGCAAAAATACCAAGTAACTAAATCAGCTAAAACATTGTCTGTTTTTCTGTCTTCTTCAAGAAATGGAGAAATTTTCTGTTTTCAAAAACTATGAGCCAGGTGATCCAAATTGCAGGATATATGTGAAGAATTTAGCTAAACAAGTTCAAGAAAAGGTATTTAAACAAGCGAATTAAATATTTATCAAAAGGACTTTTTATCAGCTTTCCTCTTATACCTACCCTTTAATTTCAGGATCTCAAGTTCATTTTTGGAAGATACATTGACTTCCAGTCAGAAGTGGAACGAAATATGTAAGTTAATTTGGTACTTGGTTAAAATTAAGCGTTTTTGTTAACTTCTATAATACTGGTGAAAATTGGTATTTAAAAACTAGTCATCTTTACTTTTTTCTTTATCTTCTGCATGAAGAAGAAATGCATTTCATCTGAAAGTCTTCATTTATCACAAGTACAGAATTATTTTATTGAACAGTGCCTGAAGACCCTACTGTTTTGCCCCTATGTTTTTGTTACCAAATTTGCTGTTTATTGGCTGAGTGTTACAGAATGAAGAGTGTAGAGGATTGTGTGTATTTGATCATTTTGCATATGTCATATTTACTACAGTTCCACACCAATTTGCCATCCTGCAGTTTAATGTCAGTTTTTACTAAATGGTTCCCCCAGGCAAAATGGTCTCCATAATCCCTGCTTGAAGGTTCTGCTCCTGTTTCTGCTATTTCTCCAACTTGAAGCATGAGAATTATATTTCTAGTGTGAAGTATGAAAGTGTGGTTAAACATGAGGAATTCCCAATTCTCAATTTTTGCCTCTAGGTTTGATATACGTTTGATGAAAGAAGGCCGTATGAAGGGACAGGCTTTCATTGGACTTCCTAATGAAAAAGCAGCTGCTAAAGCTTTAAAAGAAGCAAATGGATATGTCTTATTTGAAAAACCCATGGTGGTTGTATCTTTTTCTTCAAATGTTTGTTATATTCTTTGTAATCTGTCTGTCAATCTCTAGTTTCGCTGTCATAGTGTTCTTGTTAGAAATCTATGGAAAGAGGAAATACCTTAAGAAAACAAGGCAACATGACATAGTGTATTATTGCTAATTTTATGATAACCAAAAAATATATAGAGGCACCTCTTCTGAAATAGGAAAGTAAATGGGCTTTAGGACAATAAAATTTCTTCTCTGGTCTTAGCGCTTTGATCCTGCAGACACGATACAAAAGATGATTTAGCTTGTAGGATCATTGTGTTTAAATTAAGTAGTCTTTTTGACTTGGTTAAGCCTATGTTTACAGAACTAAGAACACATAGAAATGTGCCTGTCAAAATCAGTGGTCTCTATTTAGACTGTTTCTCCAGATGGAACTGTAAGTTACTTTTTGGTCCTGTGTAACATGCTGGGATTTCTACACTTTTGATTGTGTTGCCTGGTTTTTTGCCTACAAGTCCTTATTTATTTTTCACTTAAATATTTCCTAGTTTATTTCCTTTTCTTTGTACTCCTGTTCACCTCAACCTCTGTTCCTTTTAGCTTTTTTTCCTCCCAAATACCTACTTGAGACATCACAGTTATGGAATTAACAAGCTGGGATGGATGATTGTAAATATCAAGCATTTATCCTGCTGCGGTTATTCTGTTTGCACCTAACCCATTCCCAGTTAGTCCTCCTTGTTTATTTAGTATTGTAAACTCTTGGACAGGCTCTCTTAAATTTTTTTTACTGCAGATCAGTGAGGTCCTAATCTGACTAATAGACACTATTGTTATGATATTTAATACTGTAGTGGAATTGATTCACAGATAAAGGCTACTTTTTAAACTAGCTTCTGCTGAAATAATACTTTTTTGCTACTTGATTGGCTTCTGTTTATCATTGACACTTGTAGTCCTTAACAGAATTTTAGCAATTTGCTCGTTCAGCTAGACCAAAGCAGGATGCCAATGAAGGGAAAAGAAAAAAGTAGAACACTGCACAAGGTATGTATTCTCTGCCTGAAAATAAAAATAAAGAAATAGGCTGGGGTTTTTTGTTTATTTGCTGTGTTGGGGTTTTGTTGGTGTTTATTTATTACCTTTTAATGGTTTATTTAGGAGTAGTGATGGTGGAGGGGAAATGTTTCATACAACTTTCTTTTCTTAAATGTGCATCTAATATCAGAAGACCAAAATGCAAGTTATATAGTTGGTGTAAGATTAAAATGTTGTTTCTTCCTCTGTTTAGAAACTAAGGGACTGCCATTTCCCTAATCTTGATATCCTAAGGTAGTTGTCAGTTTTTCTAATCCTTAATCTGAAGAACTAAGGAGAATAATTCTGTCGAATCAGACCACTTAGCTTTTAGTAATCTTCTGGGGTTTTAGCTTTGGAAAGAGTTGCCTCTTTTCTCCTTCCCTTCTCTCCCTGTCACTGTAAAGTTGAGTCTGAAGAACTGTTTCCAGCAATAAACTCACTTCTGCTAACTCTCTAAAGGACCTTTGGCTTTGCTAACTTTAGAAAATGAGATCTGAGTGCTCTTGCAGTATCTTTTAAACTTGGCTGATTTAGGAAACGATATTGTGTCAGAAAGTGCTACTTAATGTTGCATTCCTCAAGGCTTATTTTGTTGTGGAATGCATAGGTCCTGATTTTTGGCATTAGTGTCTAAACTTGATGGGAAGGTAACTTTCATCACTATCTAACTTTATTTCCTATCATATAGCTTTACTTACCTACTGCTTACTCTAAGTATTTGCTTTATATGACAGTAACTCAAGCAAAATCGGTTCTAGTTTAACTGTGATTGGTTTCATGGCCTTAAAACATTTGAGTGGAGAACTGCCTCAAATTAACATGTGAAGTAACTGTTGCAAGAATTAGAACCATTTCTCTCTCAATCTATGCCCTCTGATAAATCAGTTAACTCAAATTTAAAGGGCATTTAACTTAATTACAGCTTACAGTTGGGCATCACTCTGGTTATGCTTCCACCTAAAACCACATGAACTCAAAGCTGAATGCTTCTGAAAGATTCTGCTTAATCCATGATGTGTTTTTTAATCTGGATGTTTTGATCATTGTTACTTTGCAAAAAAACCCTGAAGTTTGAAATAAAGGATGTGAACAGTTGGTTTTGATTTTTAAAAAATTGCTTGTAGACCCCTCAGTATGGCTATTGAGAGGGCAATATTAATACAGTTTATACAGCATTTATAACAGTTACTTCAACTGTAGGTTTCTTGGTCTGTCAGTTGTCTAAGGATTTTTTCATCAGATTATATTTGAACTTGTTTCCCTCTTTTCTGAGATGCTATTTGGTCTTACCAGTTACTGTTTTGAGCTATTTGATTTGTGGTTTGAAAAAAAAAAATCTGTATTTTATTTTATCGAATGAAGGATCGCTTGTTTTTTTACAGGCATTCTTCTGTATGGGTCATTGAAAAGAGACAGATCAGCCTTGGCTAAAGTGTTATATTAGGAATAAGGGTTTATGGAAATGTTTCAGTCTTTTTTTCTTCTTCATTTTTGTTAGAAGAAAAACTTGTATTTATATTATTTTATCCAGTGTCTAATAAAAAAATTACAAAGGTTTCTTTAAATGCAAAAAAGAAACCTGAAATTTTTTAGCTATTGGAAAGCCTTATAAATGAAGTAGGAACACTTTTATCCTGTTAGGAATTCCATGTCTTTCCAACTAATTTTGTACATTAATACTGACTTCACTGAACATGCTAAATAATACTTGAATTACATAAAGAAAATAATGGTTATTCATCATGTTGATGGTCAACTCAGACACTTTTTTTAGAGTGAGCAAACACATCCTTATGCAAGACTTACTTGTGCACCTGAAAGTCTTACATGAGTTACCTTGGTGTCATTGGTTTTATGTGTCATGGGCAGAACTTCTTCCTTAAGTTGACCTTTATATGTAAAGATCACAGAATGTGCCACAGACTAATACAGATTCCTAGGGATCCATTAGGTTTAATTAAAAATATTTACTTAACTTGCCAACTAATGATGAAACTGAATGCTATTCTTGCATGACTGTTTTTGTGTTCCTGCTGGAATATTTTGATGGATGCTGATTTATGATGCAAAATTCTGGGATAGAAATCTGAGTCTGTAAGGAAGAGCAGTGTCAGAATCTCATTTGAAACATAAATGAGCATATAAACAAGTTTATGGAAATATTTGAGGGACTTCAAATTTGATCTGTACCCTGTGTCTCAATGTTGTTATTGGTTTTGGTTTTTTTTAAACAACTAAATTGATGCAAGTTAAACGTCTGATTATTTTTAAACAGGAAGAAGCTGCGTTCAATTCATGGATGTTATTGCAAATAATTTTATTTTTTAGTACTTTCTCTACCAAGGTTCCATCCTTTGTAGAGAAAATAATACATACGGTTCATAAAAATACTATGTAACTCCTTGTTGGCTGAAATGTATTTTTCTTGATGGACTGGCAAACATTTCAGTCAGTATGTGGGGTGATAATTTTTTCTTAGGTAAAATACAGCTTTTTGGGAGAGAGGTTATGTAGAAGAAACTGATGTTGAGAGGTCTCCAGCTTCTTCATAGGGAACAAGTTGAAAGCCTGCATTGAATGGAAACATGATTGGGTTTTGGGTCTGATGGGAAAAAGTGAGTCTGTAAAATGGCAAAGACTTGAAGGAGAATTAATGAGACAGAAAAATCTGGTGTTGTCCAAATATTTCAAGTTACTAAAAAATGTATTTACTTTTGAATATGGGGTTTAGTGTTGGTGGATTCATCAGCCCTCATAAATCTCATAAGGGATCAAAACTGCATTGTATCAAAGAGGCATGTTTGCTTTAGATAGGTGGCATAAAGTTATGTGTATGCAATACTGAGAATCAAGTAAAATTAAAACACATTCTGCTGTTCTTCTTTAGAAACATTCCTGCGTAAATACTGCAGTAATACTGTCATGCAGAGTGTATCCTTTCTTGTTGTATCCTTTTTTTGTGCAATGTTTCCTGTAGCACTCAACTACATCTACGTTTTCATGTAGAGTAGGTACGGGGAGGAGTTTACATGTTTTAGAGTTTGAACTAATCTGGTAATTTTAAAAACAAAGGGCACTTTTTCAGGGAAAAAAAAAAATGAATGAGTTGTCTGCGTTGTGTGAATAGACACAACGAATGTTCCTAGTCTTAAAAAGGTGGCCTCCACCTTCTTCCTCAAATGACATGCTAATTTGTGGTCCAATTCCTTAGCTTGTATGAGCATTCCACTGATGTGCGTGGAGCTGTGCTGAGCTCACATGGAGGATGTTGTCTTGTTTTTCTTTAAATATAATAACAATAATACATTGGTTAAAAGATGTATTGCAGAGCAATTATTAATAATATTAAAGGGTTGACCAGTATTTTAGATCATTTGATGATTACTGTTGTCCTGGTATATGAGAAACAATCCGTAGTTGACTTAAGTTTGTACATTCCTTACTTTTTCTTTTTTGAGAAGAGAAGAAAATCTAACAGTATCTCACAATGAAGTATTTGGAATTGAACTACTAATCAACTATTAATCATTGCTACCTTTTTGTTGGTTTTTTTTCTAGATTTGTCTCTGCACAGAGGTAGTGTTGTCAGTGATATTTTTCTTGTGGTTTTCGTAATATATTATTGTTTAACTTACTGTAATATAAAATTAATACAACTTGTATCTATTAAGTCAGATTTTTTTCAGACATTTCAGCACTTTTATAAATACTAAGCATCTTTCAATTTAGTTGTCAAAAGAAAGCATAACAACTATTTTCTGGTTGGTCTTACTTTTAACATGCCTTTGTGATGTTCCAGGTCCCTTTTGTGTTCCATCTCTTTCAAGTATTATCAAGCTGGGGAAGGAAGCAGTGTAATCATCGAGACTCTTGAACTGTGCGTAGTAACATTTCTGGAGTATGTAAGGCAGAGTATAAATTTTCTCGTCCTAAAGATTCCAGCTAGCTTTAAACTGTCACAAGACTTATATGATAAATGCATGTTAGTTTGCTTGTAAAATCCCTAATAAATTATTTCCCTTCTCTTCATTTTGCCTTTTTCTCTTCATTTTGACTTTTGTTTTGTTGGGTTTGGGAGTGGGAAGGAGGAGGAAGACACTTTTTTTTTTTTAAGAGGTGAACAGTCCAATTGTAACTGTGCAGCATGTTCTAGATGATTCAGAGTATATATTCATACGGAGCTCCCTGAGCGTGGTGTTCAGATGTTAGTGTTTCAGGGTAAAAAGCAAAGAAGTACTAAGGATAATCTCATTTTATGGTAAATCTTTTTGTTGTCTTGGAGACTAAGCAGGAAGACTGGTGCACTGGCATGAATTTGTACTGTGAAACTAAGATCTGTTTTTTCCTTAGTTATTAACTTTCTTTGTTCATCCACATTTTGTAAAATGTCACCAGTGAGACTAAAGTCATTAAAACAAGACTAGCAGTTAAAACAGTGTTAAACCAGTGTAGGTGTGGTCCTTGCCCTGTTGAACTGTGGTTAATAAAAATCAATGCTGTGGAGGTCACAAGTAAGATTTGTTACATACTGGGAAGATTAGCCTAACTTTCTAAAACCATGTGGGAGATATTGCAATGACGTTTACTTGGCAAGAGAGTCCAGTAGATTTAAGGATAAAATAATTTCATAAAAATATTAATTCATAGTTTATGGTGTGGTAACAGACTGGTGTAAAGCCTTTTGTTTTGTCATCATTGCAGCTGCAAACAGCCCAACTCAGTAGTGTTGGTTGCTGGACCAAAATAAGTGTATCTTTGCAGGTTTTTTCCATGGGAACTGGCTTAGCAGCTTCCTTTAAAATGCTTTTACTGGAATTTGTCTTAGCTTATTTGCTGTGTTCCCATGTGGACTGTTTAGTTGTTCATTAGTTTGTCCTTACTTAGAGTAAAGACAGGAAAAATACACGGAGAGGAAGTTTTTTAGAGAACTTCTGAAGAGTTTATGATGCTTAGAAGAGAGAAGAAAGTGGCTTTAAAATTTTTTTATTTATTTTTCTCTGACCATTCCATTATAAATAAAGCTAAGCTATGTTCTTGGCGGGGTTATATTATTAAAGAAAAATAAAACATACTCCCCACCATCCTATACTGATAATCTATTGAGGAAACTTCTACAGTCCAGTTAAAAGAACTTTAAAAAAGTCAGAAAGCAAAGCTTTCATTCCCTTAAATCAACTGGTTTTTTGTACACCAATTTCTGCTGGTTGTTTTGGTTTTGTTTTTTGTGAAAATATTTGTTCTGTTTGATATATTTCAGGTCAAATGACCTCTATTTTTTTAACAGTTCATTAGGGCCTGCTTCCGAGATTGCACATAAGCAGTGAATACAGGCATATTTCACAATTTTTCTTCATTAGCTAATGACATACAGACATAGAAGCATTTCCTGTTTAATTAAACTTTTGAATGTACTCATGTCATTATAATTTTCAAGGTGAGGCTGACTCAGATAACAATCATTCGTTCTACTATAGTGTTCTTGTATAAGTTGACTTCTTGATATAGCAAAGGTGTTGTGACAGCAGAAGCTAAATTAGATTTATTTTCTACATGTAAATGTGAGTTGTGTGCTTTTGACAAAATTTTTCTTTGAAAGCCAACTTCAGAAAGTCATTCTAATATGCTTTTAATTCTAAGGAGATGGATTTCAAAAAAATATTCATATTTCTTCAGTGTCCTCGGTGTGAGTTTGATATATAAGGCTCACCTTCAGTTACAGTCTTTTGAATGTTTTTTCCTTGAAAAACTTTGAATTTTAGGGACTTCACTATGTGATAGGGAAAAGAAATTTTGGTTTGGAGAAGGTGAAACCAATAATGTCATCTGCACAGCAGAGTTAATATGCATTTGGAAATGAACAATTTCTAGCTAAATTATTTGTATTACGGTAATAACTTTGAAAAGTCACTAAGATGTTTCACGTTACATAGTTTGCATCATCTTTGTTACCCCTTCATATCTTTGGAACTTGACAGCTAAGAGAGGACCTAATGTAAAACTGAAAATAACTTTTCCTTTATTCTTTTCTAGGAGATTTCTAACTGCTTCTTGTTTATTCCTTAAATGTATTTTCTGCTTGATACAAGACTGAAGACAACACATTTGCCATTGTAAATCCTTTGGTTTTGTTAAGTAGCTTAGGTTGCTACTGTTCCTGTTGTAGGACAAACACTTCAGTCCTGCAGTTCCTACCTACCCCAGTCTTTTACTCCAGTCTAGCAAACAGCTTCTGTGGCATGAGATCCATTTATGTTATATACAGACAAATATTTACTCTAGTTGTGGTTTTGACTGTTCCCAGAGACAAGAAACATTCTGATAATGACAAACTCTGTTACTTTGTATGGCAAAGCCACTGTAGCAACGTTGGTAGAAAATTCTAGTTAATCCACTGTAGCCTTCAAAGGTTCAGAACCCTTCCTTGTACTTCCACATTTTCAGTCTGTGTCTGGCTGGAGCCACTGTACAAAGCTTTGTGACTCTGTTCACTGCACGTGAAACGGTGTATAAGAGGCAATATGCACCTCTGACCACCCATGTGGAGTTACAAGTACAATATCGCATAAAAGAACAACTAAGTAGATTTTCAAAGCAGTGAAGAACGATAACGTCAAGGTGTTGCTGTACTTAAGGATAAAAATACTTAAAAAAAAAAAAAAAAGATTAACGTATCTGCAGAGATATTTCTTTCCTTAATTCTCGAAAACAAATATAGCCCAGAATGTAATTTTATCTTGAATCAACATGATCACTTGTAATATAAAGCTTTTAGATAAACCAGTTTATTTTACCACAGAACAATTACAGAGCGGGCTGGCAAACCCCCCCGGGCGCTTGCAGCGGCGCC